GGAGAACACTTCTTGGACTTGTCTAGCTTTTAGGACCATCTGAGGACATCCAATTGTAAGTTATCATGAGCTCGATGTATCTTTCATAATAATAAAGAAACTAAGCAATTTTTTACGATAAGCATAACACATTCATACTAATCAATAAAATTTTTATCCAATCTGTTCCATTCTCTGTGAAATGTTTAAAATGTTATAATATTTACCATACATCTTTTATGAAAGAATAATTTGAAATAGTTTATATGATAAAACGATTTAATTATTTACTCAGAAAGAAATGAAATTTCTTCTCTGTATATGTTGGAAAGAACGAGCGTCGATTGTTTGGAAACGTTCTATAAAATGATTTAACATAATTGGTCCATTTATTTTAAAAACGTATGAAAGAAATTATCATACGTATTACGCAAATCATTTTTCCTATAACGTTTACATTCAATTATACGTTAATTACGAGATGTAGTGCGATGACTTTGTGAGATTACAAGCCTCGATTAATAGTCATGTTGATCGATCTGCAAATTTAATTCGTGCGCCATAGATTACGGCTTGTCGTGCACTTATAAACCATGTCCGATGATTATATCTTTAGCGATGCTGTCAATCGTGCAGCGTTGAATAATTCTAATGGCACAGAATATTATTTTTATTTATTATTTCTAATAACACGAAGTAACAAGTCACTATTCTTTAGTTGCTTTTCTTATTTAATAGATAATTCTATTACATTTTTCTTGCAATTATCAAGAGAATAAACATTTTATTGAAAATTTTTGAAAATGTCGCTTTTTAATTAAACTAATGAATATAATAAAATAATGATATAACCTCATTCTGGCGAAAAAAGATTTGTACTGAAAAATATTAAGAAAGAAATTCTCATAAATATATCTTAAACGGCTGGTTTCATACGATAAAAGTTTCGTAATTTTATGCAATTATACTGCAATCACTAATTTGAATGGAGAATTTGTGAGCACGAGGCTGTAACGATGAAATTTTAAACGCGAGGGTGGGTCGTTTCTGTAATGGGATAACGGGAACCGATGGGAGGATATAAAGACGTAGCTTACCCGCGGGGAACATCAACCCTCGTTCGTGAAAGCCAATCGAGCACGAACAACCACCCTAATCGCGAAGCGCCATTGGCTCGGAGTTACTCCAATTCTATTACACCTTCTGTCATGGCCATTTATAGCGTTTAATCGACCAGACCGGATCGTAATATGGCGGCGATAAACCCTCGGTTGAGCCATGCACATGCCATCTCACCCCCGAGATATTTCTATCGTTAAATAGAAAAGTCAGCATTTGCAGTTTCGGGGTAATCGCGAACGTAAGAGTACTCTAAATATCTTAAATTACATTTCATTCAATTTCGCATTGTACTTTTTGTTAATTATCTGGAAGAAACAAAACAATGAAAAAAATTAATTGATGTTCTAACTTTAACGAGAAATTTAATTATAAAAATTTGATCAAAATATTACTGCATCCTAATTGTAATTGTGGTGAACTTCATAATATTGCATCAGCAATTATAAAGTTTTAATAAACTATATAATATTATAAAAAAATAAAATCGCGTGGCATTAATACGGCGATAAATATTTTGACAGATTTCTAAAATAATATCATCAACCAATCGGATAATTCAAACTTTCAGGTTGAAATAAATATTCTTTTATCAACTCTGACAGTAATTACCGCGGTAAAGGTAACTTTTTAAAACATTTTTATTCGCTGTACCGCGGTATTGTTAAGCCAACTACTTGAGCTCGCTTATCTATGCGTCTGCACAGTGGGTAATTATTTATACCCATTTTTAAATATTTACCTACAAAGTACGCAAGAGAGTACGCTAATAATACCCGTGCAGCATTAATGTGGCGATAATTATACGGTTCTGTCCTCTTTCAAAACGTCGATGACAAAGTAAACTGAAAAAAATTTACAATTGTGTGCGGAAATTGTTTTAAGTAGTAATAAAACCGAGTGGGAATGTGCTCCATTTTTATTTTATAGAAATTAATTTATTATATATTTGTTTTTACTATGAAAAATTTAAATATATCTATAGGGAAATAATCTAAGTGCCCAAGCTGGATAACAATGATAGCAGTGTTCCTCTTGAATAATAACAATTATCTTTTAAGATTAAACATTTTCACGTGTCTATTTTCTGTCGAGTAGAATTCGTTAACTACTTAGTGCATCGCAACTATATTAGATTAGCAATTCTTATTTTGTTGTCGTGCTTATCTATATGCAACGTAATTCGTTTTACGTATCGGGTGTGTGTAGTGTAAGGTAAGCGAGACTAAATGTAAAACGGGATGCATCCCAGTTTTTCAGATAAAGCAGAATTTAAAGAATGTGATTACATAAACACGCGTATCACGTGCGATAATGAATAATGGAAACATACAAATATACCGTATTTTTATTTGTCATTAACCAAATAAAATCTTTACGTTATTATGTATAATTTTTAGGCTGCACTGACTAGATATGATGCTTGTCGCCTCTCTGATAATTAATATCACGCGTCTGCGTTCTATTACGTTGCGTGTGCACGTAATGTTAATTTGTTAATCAATGCGCTATCTTGTTAATTATCCGATAACAAGCCGATAGTTTATAGAGTCGCTGGGAGAATGAGATTCCGTTATCGTGCGAGCTCGTTTCGCTTTATCGGCTGACGACTAAATGGTAATTCGCTATTTATTCGTCGTAAGAAAGTCGAGTAATGCGCGTTATCGTAGCCAGGCAGGTATTTTGCATATCGGCCAACTAGAAACTCGGCCGCGATGCGATGCAGCTAGTGGCAGCGTTTTTTCCGTTATTCCACGCTCGTACCGCTTCTCCCGCGATCGCATTCTAACTGTGCGGATGCTCGCGATGCTGCGGCATTTATCTAGTGACGAAATATCGAAATCATATCTATCAATTCGGACTACATCTTTAAATTCGCATCAAAAACGTAATCGTTTATTTGCAAACGTATCAGTTGCTCAGACAAATCAGTAACGCTCGACAAATTATCTTGAACTATTACTTTAATTACTCGGAAATTAGATATTTAATTGTTATGTTTTTATTATATTTGAATATGTAACTATCTTTGAAATCCCCAGTTTTTCATCGTAATATTATGACACTGGATAAAGTTGTGTGCTTTCAAATTATTCTACAAGAAATCTGTAACAATTCAAACAATTCATTTATCTAGTATACATGATAAGATTATATAGAGAGAAAACACAATTTTGCTAAATAATTTAGAATTTTACTGGATACAAATCTGAAAATAATTTTATTTCCAATCAAATTATTTTGAAGGTATAACAAAATTATTTTCAAATTTGCAGCCAGCAAAATTTTAGATTCTTCAGAAAAATCGTTCTTTCCGTGTACTAATCGAGTGATAAGAATGTGAATTATTGTTTTCAAAAATTTTTTGTTTAGTAATAACTTCTGGCAGAAAAGGGCTTACGGGAGTGATGTAATAATTCGCTCTAGAACTCTAATTGGGCATCGTTTCAATCACGTATTTATCTACACCGTTGATACGTGTCGGCAATAACGACAGCGATACAGTTTTTGCTAGATCCATGGGCGGACTAATTTCGAGTTAATCGCCGTCTTATCGCGATCTACCGACTTTAAATGCGCCTTAATTAACTCCGCCGCTCTTATAAGGGCGGTCGGTTTTTGCTGAATCTCTGGCACAAAAGGCACTCGTCGGGAAAAAGTAAACCCTGGAACCGTAGTTTCTCAAGCCCCGGAATGTCGTGCGGCTTTGATAGAAGAGGTAACTGATCGTCTCCTCCGAAATCCCAGTGACATGATCAATCTTTTGTTTCTCCAATGTTTCTTTCCGTGGATTTAATGAAAACATTCGCATGTTTCCTTAAACTAATTTTTAGAGTCTTATTATTTATAGCGAAAATTTTCATAATCGTCTCAGGAATTATAATATTTTATAAGTCATGAACAGATTGATATATAAGTACTTTCAATCTATCATGTCACTTACATTTTTATTTATCTGATATTGCTCTTCGTCTATTAAAAATGCCGCGTTTAAACATCTATTGAAATTAATAATTTGCGACTACAAGAATTAAAATGCATGTCTTTTTTTAGATCTGCACGAAACGTGAATTTTTTCCCAATCACAAGCGTCACACTCGATTTGTGTGCAAACACATACAAAAGACTATCACTCAAATTATTTCTATATATTGCTATAATTAAGGATTCCATAGCACCATATAATCAACACGCAGAATGGATTTTTTATACGACAACAAATTACATAGATCTACTAATAATTATACTTCCAACTTAATCAACTCAATAATTAACTTGTCCACCATATGGCCTTAGAATATGATATGTACCTGTCACCTACCATAAATATAGTCGTTTACTTCTATTTGTGCTATAAAAGAAGCAAAGTTCTTGTTTTATCCGTCATATATTTATCAATATTTTTATATGCAATTATTCAATTTCATATAATATTTTCAAAAATTACTGTCACTTATAGTCTCATTATATATTTTTTTAATAATACGGATTTATGTTAGAACTACTATAAGACACGATGTTACGATTGTTAATATTCTTTTTCGTTATCTCAGAGTAACAATACGTAAAAGAAACTTAAAAAAATATTAAAAGATATAAAAAATATTACAAAAATTTGTAATAAAATTTAATTAATTAATTAATTAGCAAAAATTTAAGTTGATATAATTTCATCAAGATCAACTTTTAAAATGGTAGATACTAGGATTTATGAAAACGTATAATGGTCACAGTAAAAGTGTACTGTGTAAGTAAATATATCTATTTATTTGAGATAAATGTAAGAAGTATATACATATCTTAATATATCTCAGAGCCTCTTCGAAAGACTTTACAACATAATGATTATTTCGATTAACGCACGATGAATGATAAATTTAAGTGGACTATTTAAAACTCACTTAGCGGGCGCTCGTCATCCTGCGTGGGTAGCTCCGTTTCCTCGACGTCGACAAGGCTGCGGATGCTGAAGACACTCTTTGCTACTCTGGTCTTCTGTAGATCACCGACGCCTTCCGTAGTCCTTCTAGGCGTCGTGCTGAGATCCATCGTTGATTGTCGCACTATTTTCACGAACAGGAGCGAACGGGGGAAGGAATTGGCATTTCACGTCCTCTCACCGTACACATCGAGATCGTGTCGTCTCCGTCGTCGACGTTGTCGTCCGCATCTTCGACCTCGTGACTTCATTAACGAATAACAAATTAATGTTATCCGCGAGAAAAGCTTCAGTTTCCTCACACCTATTAGTCTTTTCAATTTTGATCGTCGAGTTCGACGATATTCAATGCGTAATACTCGAAAGAGTAAAATCTAATTTGCAGCTTCAATTGGACGGACTCGATAACAAAATCGTAGGTCACTTTAATACGTCGTTCTCCACATTTACTTTTTTATATCTATTTTCTTTCAAAACACTGCAGGGTTCTTGTTAATTCCCCCTTCCTCCAATGTCAACTTAACGACAACTTAATTTCATTGTCAACTTTCTGTCAACTTCGATAACTCTATTGAAACCTGTCACGCGAACTCAGTTTCGCTCATTTTTAAAAAAGCTGCTCGTTTATCTGCTACTTTTTCATTTGAATCACACACGTCGTAACAATTGCGAATATGTTGCACCCAGATAGCAGACCGTCGTTAGTTAAGTTGTCGTCAAGCCACGATATCTCTGGGAATTCAACGATAACTTGGTTTCTAACTGAATAGTCTTTTTCTATTAGCGGACACAATGATCACATATCACACGTTATCGATTGCACTTTTTTCTTTTCGTGATCTCGGAGATCGATTAGCTTCGAGTGTTTGATGATCAGCCTTCTGACGTTGCACTGATGTCCCCCGTGATTCGCGCTACCACGCGACGAATCGTTTCCTCATGATCTAGAAAATCTCTCCTTCATGAGCCAATCATTCCACTATTGGACCTAGTTAGTAGTCGCTTCGCACTTCCGTTTTCAGGCGAAAATAATCGTTCTCGCCATTCGATAATACCCCCGGACGGATCATCGAGTTGCTTTTTATCAACTCTGACCGGAAGCGCTTTATCACATTAATTGTTATCAGAAGAGCGTTATAGCAATCGTGGACTGACGTCGCGGAAAAGTTACTCCTGCCGGGCCTGTAAACAAGCTCACGCACACACACACACACACACGCGCGCACCTTGGAGGATCGATGAACTCTTTCACGGTTCACGTCATCCAACTTTCGGCCGTCCTTGTTGTATTTACGAATCGCAACGCCTGATCTGATCTTCCTTCTGTTTTCGTAAAACTACAACCAGTTTTTTAAGGTCTAGTCAATACGGAACGAAAGGAGATTCCTCAATCTTCGTCGTATATTAAATAAGTAGCTCCTCACGTGATTATTTCTGATTTTCGAACAGTGAAACGATCAGCTGACGCTCATGACGTAATGACAATAGGACGGTGGAGATCTTGTGCAGCCCAGCTCTGTGCGAAGTGATAGTTTCATCAATCTAAGATTTTTTTTAAGGAAACACATTGAAATCACTAATAGTAGCAAAACTCAATATCCAAGAATTATGATTGTAATTATATAAAGCTATCTAAACATTACAAATGAATAGAGCGCGTGAATCTTTTATCACACAAATTGCCAATGTTGCAAACTTGATTTGCAACGTTTGTAGTCAGTCTTTACGAAATTAATGGCCAATCTTGATATATTTATCAAATTCTTCGAGATAGAGAAAATATCACTTTCTCTAATAAAGTCAAGGAACTCTTCCTCGTATGGCTGTTTAGCTGAAACCTACTCGCAACGTAGGCTCTAATATTTATAAATAAAAGAGTGATATATCACATTTTTTTCTATGTATATACATATACTCAACATTGTCTCTTCCGAGATATTGTAAAATTCGTAACTATTGTTCTATAAGTTCGTGTAGATGTCATATCCACGTAAAACACAATAATTCTTCCTTGGACCAATTATTTGCGCCACGATGTCCATCAGCACATTTGTTTAACTTCTCAAAGTAACGTTAACATAAAAAATTGACACCTCTCATCACTTAAAAATTTTTCTTTAATTATGGTTGTGCGGTTTCAGTACAAACATAATTAATTTACAGATATATATACACGTAGATGTCGTATCCAATTAGAATACCTTTCCTATCGAATTTATTATTCATTGCGATTTGCATCACGCACACTTTTCTAATTTTCCGAGTCCGAGCGGCGTGCCTTCGGGCACATTCTCCATAACGAATAGCGATCAAGTCATCGACATTCACCCAGAACGCGGTCGGACAGCCGGCTCGAAAGCAGACTTGACAGTTCCGTCATGACGGAACGAGACCGTTCGAGAGAACGAAGCCGTAGGCGCGCGGCACACACGCGTATCGCGAACTCCTGGCCGGCAATGTGCGCCGTCGCGTTCCCTCCACTTCGAGGAGGTCGATCGCTTGCGCTGTCCAAGGTGATACCAGGTGGTAGAGGGGAAGGTGTGGAGAACCTGCGGACCGCCTTCGTGTTACAAAATGGAGTTGGACACGGGTTGAGAGCCCGCCCATCGGGATCCACCCACAACCGCGAGAAGGGTTGGCCGAATCTTCTCTTCCGGAGGCTGTTTCCTCTGACGAGAAGAGATAACGGTTGACTCGCTTCGCGTGCGCTCGGACGTTTCGAACGGAGTGTCTCGGTTTCGATGATTTTGCCGCAAAAAAAATGATTTATCTCATCGGATCAATTTTTGACCGCTTCAAATTTAAATGATAAAGGTGATTTGATAATGTTGTGATAGTGATCTACGGAAGATTGACGTCGAATCTTTTTACATAAGATTCTAAGACTTTTTTAAGAAAGAAACGAAGATTGTTTATTCATATTTATTTTATATTTCATATACAAGAACTTAAGAAAGTTTGATCGTTGCCAAATCTCATTGAACTAAAGATAGTATTAAAAGTATGAATATGAATTGGCGAGCGAGAGCGTGACAGACAGCGTACTGGTCTATCATGCCAGAGGTCCCGGGTTCGATCTCAGTAGGAACCAAAATATTTACGCTCGTGTCTCCTCTTGAAAAAGGCCGGCAACCCCCCGAGAGTATTCTTGCCCATCGAAACATCTCTCGAAAAATCCGCCCATATGCTCGTGACAATTGAATAATCAGTGTGCGCATCACACAAGCATATGAGAAAGGTGTAACACAAGTCAGAGGCCTAACGTAAGAAAAAGAATATGAATTAAAAATGTGAAAAAAGTGATTTTCATTTGTTTACGTATATCTAAGATATATTTATATTTTACACTAAATGTTAGTGAATTAAATATGTTTCGCTAGAACTCTCTTTAAAATTACAATAACAGCTAATTCATAAAATATAAATTGATTATTACATTGAGGCTCTAAAATGTCTTTGTTATTTAAAGCTAATCAATATTCATATCCGTGACTTTTAAATAAAGGAAACTTGATGTCTTCTTTATTTAAAATACATGAATGTTTGTATAATACTGATTAGTTTTAAATAAAAAATACATGCTAGATCCTCAATGGAATAATCAATTTATATTTTACATTATAACAATTGCACACCCCTTGCCGCGCTGACTCTCAGTAGCCTTGAATTAGCTGTTATTCTTATTGTTATATTGAAAATGATACGAAAAAGCTTTGGTATATTATATCTTGTAATAGATAAACATTAATTGTCAACACAAAAGTCTCGTCAATGTGGCGCCAATTATTTTATAATTTCGATACTTATCTAAGAACAAATTAAAGATCTTTTGCAAGAGATGTTAATTGTAACAAAATTTTAAAAGGAAACCACATTAGAATCAGGGGCCTACATATCATCTTTTTTCCTCTATATTTATTTTTTATATATTATTTCAGACTTTTTCTCCTTAAAGCTTTAAAATAACTCAGAAAGTTTTGTATTCGACAAAAATACCGATAAAAAAAGCAAAAGGACTTGAAAGTTAGCTTTTAGGAATTGGAAAACATTGTGGTAGAAGGTATTTGCACAAGTGAATGAGTTTGATAAGTAATTCTCTTCGGTTTATTTCATATGTAATGTTCATTGATTTTTAATACAATACGTAGTGCGTTTAATAATTCGCCATAATAGCCAGCCATTAGAAGCACCTCGAACGGCAGGAGATTGCAAAATGACAGATTTTTGATTATGACAAACATTTTTATACAGGAAAATTCCGCAATACGTGGTGCATGAGTTTAATCCCTTCAAGCCTATTATTTACAAAAAGTCATCGCAATTAAATATAATTTGATTTTTCGTGCATTGTTTAATTTGCGTAAAAATAATACTTATTCTATTTATTACTAATAAAAAAAGTAATTACGATTTTTCGTAATTTATAGATAAATTACCTACTTTTCAACCGTGTATACAGCGTAATATACAGCGACTTACGCAGGTCGCTATGACAGGTTGAAAATCGCAAGGAAGTAAAGGTAAAAGTAATAAAAACGCAATTCTGAAAGAGATCACATTCGATACAGTTCCGCTAATAATACCGCCCTTTGAGGCGCTTCGCATCGTTGAATTTTGACAACAGACATTGTCCTGCACAATCCGAACACAATTAATTTGGGCGAGTATAAGTAATACAATTTCGCAGTGACACGTCGCTTTATAAATTCCTACATGACTACGATCAACGCAAAAGAATCTCGAACGAATCGAAATACGGAAAAAGGAAATTTGCGCATCCACTATATCGTAAATGCGCAAATGTAACATCTATCGAGGGTTCGAGGACGAGCTGTATACCTTGTAACGAAGTCGTAATTTCGTACTTTTAATCACGTAAAATTAGATTCGTAATATCTATTCTTCGTGATATCTATAATAAAACCCTGCCGACGCGAAAAGAGATTTAAAAAAACCAAATAAATATTATTTTCACGCAATAATCAATGCAAAAATGATCAACTCCATTTCGCTTTTGGTATGAATGTAAATTAAAAAAAAATATTTTAAACAAAAAAAAAGCAATTTGTCTCTGTTTCATTAAAAATTCATACGTAAATATTCAAAATATGTATATTTTATATATATACTTTCCCGTAAAAATAAGATATAGAATTGATCTGTGCACAGAATAGTGCGAAATTATCTGAAATATATTCTAACAAATTCGTATTTTATTTACGAAATATTATACAGTTCGGATTGGTAACTAACGTAAACTAAAAACTAAAGTGGGAACTCGACGTGATCCGACGTCGTCGTGTTATCGCAACTTTGTGCTATTTTTTTGTGACGCGATCTCGACCGTGTAAGTACCAATCACTGCGAAATCGAAGGCATGTCTTTTGCGCGTATGCCACCGTCCGTTACGACGTAAGCAACACAAAATACTGCTGTCAAATAAGTACGCGAAAAGAATAATAAAGAAATAAGTAGAGAAAGAAAGAAAATTAGAAGCAAAGTGTCAAATAAATATAATTGCAACTGCAATAGAGAGATTGACCGAGTTCCCAATGAGATTTGAAGTCTTAACGCAAAATAGGCGCAGCCACAGCGGAGCACGACGAAAACGGATAAGTGAATCTCAGACTGTCATAATAAAAATAGATCAGTACATCATTATCACCGGCATTTGAATGACAAAGCACGAAAATGCACGCAATAGTATATGCTCAATCTGATCACAAGAAAATTCATATAAAGTCGTCATTTGTCGGCGCCACCGACGACGGGCCTGAAATCTCAACGGAAAACTAAAAATTAAAGTAAAACTCTCCCTCTCGTGTATAAATTTTACCAAAAGACTGTATATCGCTTTAACAAAAGTTTGACGAAGATATTAAGATGCAAATGTAAAGAGAAATGCAAAGAAAGCTTCGTTACAATGCTAATTTATGTTAATTCCTACCTTAATCTCGCTGGCGAAGATTATTTAAATAAAATTCGTCCTCGAACGTGAGTGAGAAAAGTCATGTATCTTTGGCACAATAAATATGAACGTTACAGTTATCCGCGTGTCAGCCAATGCTATGCGATTGTCGCACCGGCCGGGCTTCTTAATTCCCTCTTTTGCTTCTTCGAGCCACGGCACTTGAGATCTTTCACGTTCCTTCACGCTGATACGAAATGA